TGTTCCTACTAGGGACGAGGTGGTGGAGACACCCTCGCCATCTCGCATCATGGCCCAAGCTACTGATTCCCTTGTCGTCCCGCAAACGCATTCAGACCCATCGACCCTTTGCTCAATGAATGTGTTTGAGTCCTTAGAGGAGCTAGAGGAGGAGTGGTCTAGATTAGACCCGCTAGCTTCTTGGACGGCACTAGCTAAAGCCCCGAAGGGTGAGATGTTCGTCAGCGAGATAGTCGTAGGCGGTCGCAAGTCCGGGGCCTATTATGACACTTGCTCGACACAAAACTTTATTAGTCGCGCGTGTGTTGAGAGGCTGCGTTTACAGGGGCAAGTGCAGCGCCTGAGTCGACCTGTGGAGTCGACCTGTGCCAACAACCAGCGCATGGTAGTCCATGACTACCTTCAGGATGTAGAATGCCTAATCCCGTTCGCGGGAGGGGAGTTGAGGCATCGTGTCTCATTCCTAGTGAGCGACGATCTCCCTATGGATATCTTGTTAGGTATTTACTACCTCTCTGTAGCACAACCCCAGTTTGACTGGGACCGAAAAGTGGTCAAGCACACTTTGCCAGGTGGAGGGACCGCCAGATTACACAAGTTCAAAGCTAGTAGTCTGATCGATTCCCATGGACGCATGTGTGCGGCCKCGTTCTATAACTACTATAAGCAACATCAGGAGGAGGGTATGTACTTAGTATATGTCTCTGCTGCAGGCGAGCCGGTGAAAATGCCGCCGGAGATAGAGGGAGTAGTTGCCAAGTACCCTGATCTATTTGAAGAGCCAACAGGGGTTGTTGATGGGGAGGTCGTCCACGCGATAGAGATTATCCCAGGGTCTAGTATTCCGAAGGGTAGGATCTATCGGATGTCTCCAGGCGAGCTTGATGAGCTTCGCCACCAACTCAAGGAACTCATAGAGAAGGGTTGGATCCGGCCGAGTGTCTCTCCTTACGGATCTCCAGTACTATTCGTACCTGAGAAGAAGGAGGGCACTCTCAGGATGTGCATTGACTATAGGGGCCTCAATGCCATCACTGTGAAGAACAGAGAGCCCCTACCGCGCATTGATGATCTGTTAGATAGAGTGCAAGGGTGTCGGGACTTCAGTAAGATAGATCTAAAGTCTGGGGACCATTAGATTGCAATCCGGCCTGAGGATCAACACAAAACCGCATTTCAGACCAGGTACGGTCTGTACGAGTTTGTGGTGATGCCTTTTGGCCTTTGCAATGCTCCTGGCACCTTTCAGCACGCTATGAATCGGATATTCCATGACTACTTGGATAAGTTTGTCGTCGTGTACCTCGATGACATACTTATTTTTAGTAAGACTGTCAAGGAGCACGTAGCACACTTAGACAAAGTTCTTAGTCTCCTGCGACAACACAAGCTCAAGATCAACGGTGAAAAGTGCGAGTTTGGCCGCACCCGTATCYTGTACTTGGGTCATGAGATCTCCGCGGAAGGGTTGAAGCCCGATGACGCGAAGGTGGCCAGCATTCGCGATTGGCCACGTCCTCAGTCTGTGACTGAGATGAGATCTTTCTTAGGAATGACAGGCTATTATAGAACTTTCTTGAAGAACTATAACATAGTGGCCGCTCCTTTGACTGATCTGACCCGCCTTGACACCCCATGGGAGTGGACAGATAAGTGCGAGGCAGCTTTCAGACATCTGAAGCATGCATTAACGCACTATGAAGTCTTGAAACTTCCTGATCCTGTCAAGCCGTTCATAGTCACCACGGATGCCAGCCAATACGACATTGGCGCCGTGCTCGCACAGCAGGAGGGGCCAAAGTTGAGGCCAGTTGAGTACACGTCTAAGAAAATGCCGTCTCAGAAGTTGGCTACGTCCACTTATGAGAAGGAACTCTATGCGGTGTACAAGGCTCTCACCCATTGGAGACACTATCTCCTTGGGAGGTTCTTCATCCTCAGAACTGATCATCAGACCCTGAAATGGATGAGAACCCAGTCGGTACTCTCTGACGCTCTCAAGCATTGGATCGAAGTCATTGAGCAATATGACTTTGACCCTCAGTATCTAAAAGGGGAGTATAACAAGGTTGTTGACGCCCTGTCGCGCAGACCAAACTTCTCAGGTGCGCTGATTACTGAGTTCAGTCTCACGGATAATGTTACTCAATCTTTGGTGGAAGCCTATCGCGAGGACCAGTTTATGTCTGAGATCATACGCAGACTTGAGGCGAAGGACAAGAAGACGTCCGCCGAGTTTGAGTTGGTTAATGGCTTGTTGTTCCTTGGAAAGGCAAGGAATAAACGATTGTGTGTTCCCAATAGTGAGTCTTTGCGTAGTTTGTTTCTAGGTGAGTGTCATGATGCCACCGGTCATTTCGGGTATAAGAAGACCGCAGCCAAATTGCTGCAGCGATTCTGGTGGCCCACGATGATGCGAGATGCACAGCTGTACGTGGAGACTTGTCAAGTTTGTCAACGGGACAAGCCCCGTACTCAGGCTCCTCTTGGGCTGCTCAAGCCCCTTCCGATTCCGGAAAGGCCAGGTGAAAGCTTGTCCATGGACTTCATGGATACGCTGGTCACCAACAAGAGTGGGATGAGGCAGATCTTCGTCATCGTGGATAGGTTTAGTAAGTATGCTAGGTTAATAGCCATGCTGGAAAGGGCGAAGACCGAGTATGTAATCAGGCTGTTCAAAGAGAACTGGGTGAGGGATTTTGGATTGCCTAAGTCTATTGTAAGTGACAGGGATGTCAGATTTACAAGTGAATTATGGAAGGCCGCTGCAGCTGAACAAGGAACTCAACTGCAAATGACTTCTGGAAACCATCCAGAAGCAAACGGYCAGGCTGAACAGATGAACCGCGCTGTYCAACACCTGTTGAGGCATTRCATTAAGCCCAACCAGGTGGATTGGGACGAGAAGCTTGCTCTTGTCGCCAGTCTGTACAATAACGCTGTACACAGCGCTACCGGGGTAAGTCCTAACAGTCTACATCTTACCTTTAGGCCTAGACTGCCTTTAGACTTCCTACTTCCTGATAACCAGCCAACTGTTACACCAGGCATTTTGGAGTTCGCTTATCGTTACGAACAGAAAATGCAGGAGGTTGTAGAGCACATGCAGAAGGCGCAGGCAGCAATGATTGAATCTGAGAATAAACACCGCCGCCCTTCTACATTTCAGGTTGGGGACAGAGTCTGGGTCAAGTCTTCAGAACTGGGACAGGAGTTCGGGATATCCCGCAAACTCATGCCTCAGTACTTTGGACCTTGGGAAGTTTTAGACGTAGTAGGGACAGATCCTGATGGCCCATCTTATGTCATCCGTATCCCTGGTCATCTCAGAACTCACCCAGTCTTTCACGCCTCTAAGCTCGCTGCATCCAAGGAAACTGATCAGTTTCCCTCTCGTCGGTCAATGCTGCCCCCAACCATGGACGGAGAAGTCGACATCGATGATATCGTCGACCACAGGGAGATGCCCATTCAGAAGCCTCCAGGAAGGGGACGTCCTCCAAAGCCAAAGCTGCAGTTTCGTGTCCACTTCAGACATCACACAGATCCGAAGGAGGACCGCTGGTTTACTAGGGAGGAATTGATGCAGACCGCTCCTCAAGTCGTTGTCCGCTATGAGAAGGATGTATTGAAAGGAAAGCGCCAGATGGCTCAGGATTGATCTTCTCAGAGGACTAACGAAGATATGGAGGAGGGAATGCGAGGCTACGCCCGCTCAGCCCCCTTGGGGCCCTTTTTGCAGTATGTAGGCCGCCCTAAGTGAAGGCAGGCGCGACAGGCCCTCAGGGCCTCGATTTTCTGGGTACCCCGCAACTGGTGAAATTCAAACAGTTGCGCTGCGCCAGTTGGTTGAAGGCGCCCAGGCCCAAGCCATATGTTTGCAAATGTATCTGAATGGGGACCTGGGCCAGACTCGTGGAAAAGGCCATGAGCAGGCCAAGGGCAGTTGGGCACATGTAACCATCAGGCCCTGGGCCTGCGTGTGGAGGTCTGGGCCTGTGCCTACCGGGGCCTACCGGAATCTTCCTGGACTGGACGCAGGCAGGCCACTTCGATATAGGGAAGGGCCTKCCTCCTCATTCGGCATTCGGGTGCGGGCTGCATGCTGCGCGAGCGCTGCTGCGCTATTTGCTGGCTGGCTGGCACTCACGCTCTCACGGGCGAGCAAGAAGGAGCGGGCAGCTATAGCCGAGCTGCTCCGCTGTGAGCTGGGTGTGACGCAGGGTGGTCCTTGGGTGCAAGTGGCATYTGTGTGGTGTGGATCGGGGTTGTGAGTGTTGCGAGAGACATACCTGGTGCTGGAAGYGTGSGGCATTGTCCGCTGTATGCTCGTACTTCGGGGAGCTGTTGTTGTCAACATCGGCATTGTAGTATTAGGCTAGATAGGATCTGCCACAAGTAGTCTGGGCGCCGAGCGCCAATAGGATATCAACTCTTGTTCTTCATTGATGATGATGAGAGACTATTTCAGCATTGTCAATTACGAACTATTGGTGTGTTCTGATTTGGTGAATCTCGTGATGCATGACTGCTGTTGGTTCGAGGTCAAGACTATCTGGACACATATGTATGATGCTGTTTGATTGCTGGAGTTCGCTAATGCTCATCTTCCTTGCACATCTTTCAGGGGCATTTGTCATATATTTCAACTTATGGGGGTATTTTGCAAATTATCCCAAAAAACAAATGGCTAAACAATACAAGGGACTCAATTTAATATTAAATTATTATTATTTTATTAATATTATTATTAGTATTTATTACTAGACTATAGAATGCTGCCATGCCAATCCACATATTTCTGATGTCTCCTGTGTACTGTAAGTTCTTGGTTGCAGTTTTTCTGTATGAAAAATGCCGTCACTAACCTTTCCCAGAGAGATGAATTCACACTGCAAGTACGAACTGAAAATCATGAGGCTTCACTTTCACAGTATACGATTCCAGCTCATGGCATGCGGTTCCAGAGAGAATCTTTCAGTGTCCAGAAACTCGAGAGTTGAGAATGTTTCCGCGTAAATGGACTCGATACAAAGATAGCCAACAGGGAGTAGTGGCCAAAAGATAACAAACCTCAATCTCTAACGACAACCTCCTGTAGACCATCCAGTGCATCCACAAGTCAATCCCCAACAACGACAGACCAAGCCGCTTTTAACCGATGTGGATGGACCACCTACAATGGATCCAGGAAGAAGCAGTCCCTATGGTCCATAGACAGACACCCTGGATTTCAGCACTTCCCATATCAGCATTTACCGCGTTGCCCTCCTCGGCTTCAATCAGTTGCCCTCCTGCCCACTGCCCAGCCCGGCCTTCCCCCTGTTCTGTTTACCTTTGGGCAACGAGTCCCTTCACATTTGTCGGTGGCCCCACAAATATAGATTGGAGCAAGTTCTTTTGTAAATTTATGACTTGCCAGGGGAGTAGGAACCGGACTGATGCTCCACAGAATGGAAAAGGAGCCAGAACCCAAAGGTTCTTTTTTTTAAAAAAAAAAAAAAAAAAAAAAAAAACGATTGGAGCAAGTTCTGGGCCGTCGGCCTGACTCAGTTGGTTTCGCAAGCAAGTGGCATTCAGGAGGTCGTGGGTTCAATCCCCCATGGCCGCCTGCAGCGTGCTTGGCGTTCATCAGCTGAGGTAGTTGGCTTGCTCCCTCTGGTCGGCCTTGGTAGGGTCCTGGGTTCTCTCAGAGGCCTTCAGCCCTGCGATGCCTCGCCGGGTGCTACCGTCTTCACCCGGATAGAACGGCCGGTCATTATATCTGCATTTCGCACAACTTTCAGTCCAGTTGCAGCTATAATTACCGGGCGTTTTATTCGGGTGAAGACGGTTGTTCCTGGGTCTAGTAGAGTTCAGCTGCCTCCATACCTGGTAGATTTCGGTTGCCCCTTCCTCCAGTACTTGGACATCTAGGTTGGCATTGTTCACGATGGAAGGGGGTGTTCGCACTGCAGCAGCCGGATTCTCGCAACGGTTCACCAGCGAGGGTCTAACATCAGTGACGTTCACTGTGGTGTCAGCACTCAAGACCATCGTGAAGGGGCAGGGAGTTTCAGTTGTGCCTTGGTAGCGTGAGGTATAATTGAGAGAAGAACATAGCTTAGTTAAATATATATATATATATATATATACATATATCGTCATATATATATATATATACACTACTAAAAGATACAAAGGGCCCGACGACACGCTCGGTCGCGGGCCCAACGGAAACCGTAGGAGGGAGGCAACAGGGCAGTGGAACCGGTGCGGGGATGAGGGCGAGGCGGGAACTGGGCAGCGGGCAGTGGAACCACAGGCGAAACGACGCGGGGCCCGCGCGCATGTCGTCCAAGAAGAGGCGCGGGGAAAAGCGCCAGCAGGGGGGGGCGGGAGGCCGACGCGCGGACCGAGAAACGGAGCGGGCCAGAGGCGAAGGCTGACAGCGCAGGGCGCGGAGGAAAACAGGCGCGCGTGTGCTGGGAAAAGTAGGGGGGGGCGGGAGGCCGCGTGGACCGAGAAACGGAGCGGGCGAACCACCGTGTGGGAGTCGAAGGCTGACGGGCCGCGGCGCTGGAAGCTGGCCGCGGATGGGAGGCGGGTTCCGACGGTGTGCGCGGGCGGGACGTGGGTCGCGTGTCGATGCATGGCCATGGCGAACGGACAAAGGAGAGGTGCGAGGGGAAAAGAGGCAGTCGCCGGGCTAGAGAGTGAAGAGGGGGCCGATGTGCATGTGCACATAAGAAGGGGCCGTGTGCTAGACATACCTGATTGCGAGAACGTCTGTGCGGTGGTGCAGAGAGGGGAGGAGGCGTGTCCGGAAGAAGAGCTTGGTGTGCACCGCGTGCGAGCGGGAGAAGGACGATCCACCATCTGTTGTTGTTAAGCGGTGTGAAAGGGAGG